AATATTTTCCGTGGAAAATTTCGCTGTCCTAGTTCCCTAAAAAATTTGATGTATCAAACAGGGTCTTAATTTAAAACACAACAAAGAAACATTTATAACAGTGAAAAATGGTGAACATCTTCTACAATTTTCCAACACAAAAAAAATTATATTTTCGCGTATTGTAATATTTAAATTTTGAAATTCCACAAAAAAATATTAAATTATAGATTACATATTCTTCTTCCATGTATTATATAACTTAAAATTGGAGATTTGGATTCTTGGGAGTGGATGAACGACAGGGAGATTGGGAGACGGCAAAAAGTTTTTTTATTTCTCAAGGCATCGTTAGGTGTATATGAGATATGGTTACGACGATGGTGGTAGTTTGTGGTGTCAGTGGTAGGCAGTGCGACGCCCTGTGGATGGGTGGCGACGATGGACGATGACTGCACTACAACAAAAATTATCTTTCACAACAGGCAAAAGAAGTTGCGACAGACCTTTCGCAACCTTCATATGTATGTTACGGCTTGCGATGTTGTCGTAGAATTGAAGGATACTACAACTTTCAGAGACAATTGTGAAAGATCATCAGTGAATGTTGCCATTTGTTTTTTGTAACGTTCGTTGATTGTTACGAAACACCTATTTGTAACATTTTCTAAGTATTGTCTAAACTTTTTTATTCAACTTTTTGCAATGTTCATTGGCTGCTGGAAAAAAACTTATTTGCAACATTTTTTTTCCTGAGTGTTGTCTAAACTTTCGTGTTTAACATTTCGTAATATTCTCTTTGCAATATTTTTTTAACGTTGCATTTAACTGTTGTCGGAAATTCGACTACCGCAATCAAAAGAACAAAGAAAATAATAGGAAATAAAAATAGAAGATGAAACGAGGTATGCCAAGGCAAATCTCCTTAAGACAGATTTCGCCCCCCAACAACGTGCAAACAGGATTATGGACGTCTGTCTTCCAAGATACAACGCTTCTTCCAAAGTCGATATTGCATAATACTAATCTTGTCGGTCG